GCCCCCCCCCCCCCAAAGAAAAAAAACAACATCTTTCGAAAGCAAGCAAGCAAGCAGCCAAGCAAGTCAGCCAACCCCAAGGCATAATTCGCCTCGAGAGTTCGGTGTTAAAACAGCACAGAAGGACAGACAGGCGAGCGAAGGAGATGAAAGGCAGTTCATATATCGCTGTAAAAAAAAAAAAAAAAAAAAAAAAAAAAAAAAGCTGTTGGCAAAGCGATGTTTACACAGGCTCTCGCTATACTAAGTCGTGTTTGGATTCTGCAATAAGCTGCGTCTGGATTCTATAATATCCTTTGTTTGGAATCTACAATCAGCTGTTTTTAATCCCTAAAAAATATGGATTCTGTCATAAGATGTTTTTAGATTCTATTAAAACCTTTAATTGATTTTTGCAATATTTGTTTGGATTCTATGAGAAATAAAGTTGTTTGTAAATCTTCAGTTAAGATAATTTTGGATTCGATAAAAAAAACATTATTTTGGAATTAAGAAAAAGAAAATCCTAAAAAAAAAAAAAAAAAAAAAAAAAATCTACTTGGATCCTCTAAAAAGCTATTTTAGAATTCTATATATATAAAAGTTTTGTTTCGATTAAGTAAAAAAAAAAAGTTCTATTTGGCTTCTGTAATTAGCGGATTATGGATTCTATTTAAAAACAAAGTTTTGTTTGGATTACGTAATAAGCTCTCTCTGGACTGGAGGAAGTAGAGAGAAGGAAGAAATAGAAAAGGAGACGGAGAAGTGGAGGAACGACGGTAAGAGAAAAGAGAAAGAAAGAAAAAGAAAGAGTTAAAAAGAAAAAAGAAATAGAAAAAAGACTTACAAAGAAAGAGAAAAAAATGTGAACAAAAGAAAAGGAGAGAAAGAGAATTCGAGAAAAAGTGAACAAGAAAAGAAGAGAAAAGGCAAAAAGACAGACGGACGAGAGAGAGAGAGAGAGAGAGAGAGAGAGAGAGAGAGAGAGAGAGAGAGAGAGAGAGAGAGAGAGAGAGAGAGAGAGAGAGAGAGTGAGTGTGAGTGTGAGTGAGTGAGTGAAGTGTGAGTGTGTGTGTGTGTGTGTGTGTGTGTGCGTGCGTGCGTCCATTCGTGCGAGTCCGTATGTGTTTCTCCTCGAACCTGCACCCCCGTTCTTCGAGCCGAAATCTAATCCTGCACTCACTAGCCTTTCAGCATTTTATGGCACCGTCGAGTGTCCGACTAGCAAACCACCATGATTGCATAGTTACGGCGGCAAAGTTGCAGAAACATGGAACTTCGCGTGTCAGTCACTCCGCGATATTCCCAAGACCAATGATGGGGCGCTAATAGTCCCTGTGAAGTATGGGGAGAGTGGAGAAGAGTGGGGGGGAAAAGAGCGTGTGTGGGGGGTGAGGGGGGGGTAAAGAGTGTGGGGGGTGAGGGGAAAGATGGGGGTGAGGGGGAAAGAATGGGGGGTGATTTGGACTTCACTTAGTCGCTGATTTGGAAGAGTGACAGAAGGAGCGAGTGAGGAGATACTGAAGAATAGAAGACAGAGAGAGAAAAAAATAATAATAAAGAGACAGAGGAACGGAGGAACAAAAGTAGAGAAAAAGGAAGAAATAGAAGCGAGACAGGGCGAAGCAACGAAGAGAAAATTCGGTTCACATTTGGAGGGGAGGAGGGGGTATGGATGAGGAACAGGAGGAAAAGGAAGAAAAAGAGAGGGGGGAGGGGGATGGAGGAGGAAAAAGAAGGGGAATAGAAGGAAAAGGAAGAGGGGGAGAAGGAGACTGGCGTCCTCATTCGTTACCCTCTCCATCTCTCTTCTCCTTTATCAATCTTCCGCTCTTACCCTCCATTCCCATCGCAGCCCTTCTGTAACGCCGCGAGAGAGGGAAAAAAAGAAAGAAAAAGAAAGAAAAGAAAAAAAAAAAACGTGTCTGGAATTGTAGACAGGAATTTTGGAAAGTGGAGACCGAAGAGACAAACGTGGTTCCTTATAACCCACAAAACAGAAATGATTGAAAATAATATATAATTATAGGGATTCCCACATGCACATACATACATACATACACACACACGGAGAGAGAAAAAAAGAGATAGAGAGTAAGAGTGAGTTACAGAGTCAAAGAAACGTATATAAATAAAATACGCACATCCGAGCCTATGCGTGGAATTCATGAACAGATTGCAACAGGAACAACGAAGGAAAGGGCAAGAAAACACACGTCAACCATCCACCAACACTCAAAAAATAAATAAATAAAATAATAATAATAACAATAAATAATTTTTAAAATAATAAAATTATATAATAATAAAAACGTCGGGTCGCCGGTTGACAGTCGGCGCGTTGGGCAATTCGGCAGATTTGACCCCGAAATAGAAAACAATTATTTTCTTGCCCGATCGAAAATCCCCGGCCATCCACACCGCTAATTAGTTCTGGGTTTCCGCTCGGGTCGCCGTGGTCGTCAGGTGTCGTCAATCATCAATCAATGACCAACTACCAAGCATCAAACATCAACCACCA